CTGTAAAAAAAAATCCATTTCAAAGAAAAAGTGAAAAAACATATGAAAACAACCCATTTGACCCATTAAATTTAGAAAAAAAAAATCTGTTCATCATTTTCTTAGCATTTCGATTTTGCTTTTACCAAAAAAAAGAAATGTTTTATTTTCTTCTGATAAAAACATTCATTACAACGACTATACGATACGATACGGTATTGCATAAATTAGATATTGTGTATCATCATCATCATCATCAATGAAATCTTTAATAGTAAAAGTTAATAACAATCGTGTTTTATGTATTAACCAAAGTTATCTTCGTCAACACCATTCAAACACCATTCAAACAAACATACTATTTCAACAGAAAAAACATTCCATGAAGATGCTTTTTTGGTTGATTATCTTTAAATGAGAAATAATTAAAAGAGGAAGAAAAAAATAAGATTCATTTCTAATCTGGTGTTTGTGTGTGCGTGTGAAAATTAACAGTAATGTTTCCGCTATTTTATTTTAGATTTTCGTTTCTTCTTATCATCGACATCGTCGTCGTCGTTCACTCAGCTATTTTTGTATCCGTTCATCATATGTGGTCAACAATAAAAAAAAAGAATGAAAGTCTTTGCAGTTTTGTATGATTAACTTTTACGATGATTAACTTAAACGAAAGGGAAAGATGGATTGATCCGGACGTGTTAATATAATCTTTTGGGTACTTGTTGTTTGGATAAAAACCACGGTGGTTTAATGATGATTGCACCTTTCTATTTAGATAAATACGAGAAGTGTATGTAACAACAGCAAATATCGATCATCAATACATCATCAATGCATACCTTTGAAATTAATCAATTCTTGTTTTGACATTTATTATTAATGATGATTAAACACTAGCACACCGCTACACTATTGATATTTTAAACCTTTTGCCTCCTCTCTTTAAACTTAAAAAAATAGTTACTAAAACGGAACAGTGAATAAGATCCCAATCAGATTTTCATACATCCAAAAATTACAAAAATTACAAATGATGATCAGCTTTTTATTAAATCAATAATAAAAACACCAAATGAAACTGATAATAACGATGGTAGTGCAATTGATATTATATCAACTAACGACATTTTTTTAAAAAATCAAATGCTTAAGGATTTGAAAAGGAAATTTTTGTTGTTTTTTTTATTGTTATAACATGTATATAGAGATATTTAATCTAGACTACACACACAATCAACAAGTGTTTGTTAATCATAAAAAAAATTTTCTTAAGCTTTTCTCGCCTATTTTTATGATGATGATGATCATCATAACAACAAACACACATACACAATTCATTTGGCAATGATCAATGGGGACGATGATAAAGTCATACATTTTACATTGAAAATTACCATTGTTTGCCAATGGAAGAGAGAGAGAGAGAGAGAAGCTAAATTGTTACAAAAAAACAAAATAAATTTGAAGAAATTCTAGTAGTATTTTATTTATTTTTCAGGTTCATTCGCTTCAATGGATCTGGATTATCATTGACATCGTAAACATTTTTTGTTAATGATCATCAGTTTTTTTTTGATTCATTAAAAACAAAACAAAAAACTTTAACCATTGTTTTTTTTCGAAGAAGAAGAAAAAGTTTCGTCAAAGATTAATTTTAGATCAGGTTTTTATCTGTTGTTGTTCACTGTTAGCTTGATTTTGGATTTAGAATAATCAATATTTGGGGTCGGTTTGGAAAGTATTGTCGTTTTTTTTATTTGATTAGCTCGATTGGATTGAATTTCAGCCAAAATCAATGTCAACAAACTGATATTGAATTGCCAAATACGAATTTTGCCATTGTTTTTTTCAATTTTGAATTTCTATGAAAACAAAATTTTAAGCTAACTTCAGCGGAAAAAAAACTATGAAAAACAGGATGAAATTTAGACAAAATTTTTTGTTTATCACAATCTCACCAAAAGAAGAAGAAAAAATTGATTGAATTTTGTTGGTTCCGCTTTGATAACAGATTCTACATACATCAATATTGCTTTTTGTCCAATCAAACCAAGCCAAATCAAAATAAAGCCAAACCAAATGCAATGTAATGGATATCCACTCTTTCTTTCTTTTTGTTTTTGTCTTTTTGGTGACAGGATTCAATTTGAAAATTACAAAAATTAAGCCCCCGTTTTAGATTTTGAGTGAAGAATAAAATCGAAAATATGATTGCCATACAATTGTCCGGCGTCTATTTTGTCTGAAATGGAAAAGCAAAAATTATGAAAAAATTTAACACTTCGTATCGTTCAATGATAATAATGATGGTAATTTTAACTTGTCTTTTTCTATAAAATTAGTACTTCATTGATAGTCGCAGGTATTAAATTGCCATATTTACCGATATAATATAATTTATTCATTTCTTATTTACCGAAAACAAAGCAAAACGAAAAAATACATTTTCTTATCATTCATTCATTCATTCATTTTGTCCAACAATTTCTCATCATTTACTCAGTATTTAAATTAGTGGAAAGAAGAAAAACAACACACCCGAACAAAAGAACAGAACAAAAAAGTCAAACATAAAACACAAAACAACTGAAGAAAAAATTATTATTATCAAAGAATGTCATCTTGATGTATAATAATGATATACAAAATGAATGAATGAAACTATACAAAAAAAAAATCATTCGATAGTAACGATCAGGTAAATCAGGTGTGTGTGTGTGTTTACCGTTATGGTTCATCATCATCATCATCATTTGGATCTTTTGAAAAAGTATCTTTTATTTGTTTCGTTTTGTAAATTGTCATTACCGTTTTTGTGCTGCCGGTGCCATTTGTTTGTCTTTAGTTTTTTTTAATATGGGGGAGAGAACGGAGACAAAAATAAATTCAAAGTTAAATATATCTTTCTATGTTTCTCATAATTATATTATTTTGCATTTTTTTTGCATTTTTTGTTTCATTTTTTCATTTGACAATTTTGAAAATGCAAAAACAAAACAAAACACCGACAATATTTTGCCGCGCTAAATATTATCAAAAAAACCAAATTATTACGCCATCTTTCGGATTGGAAAAACAATTTTCTGGATTTTTTTTTGTTAGACGTTCGATTTTTTTCGGAAAGAAAATACATTCGCATGTTTCGATTGATATGTCGTCATGAAATTTTTCTGTATCCGAAATGAAATTGATTCTTTGAGAAATATTTTTTGTTAGTTTCGTTTTTTTGTGTCTATATTTTTTTTCTGTGTATTTGTCGAAAGAATTATTATTAATGAATGTCCCAAATGAATTAAAGTTTGATTAATAAAGTGTTGTTGCTGATGCTGATGTTTTTTTGTTTTTCAAAGGAATTACTAATTGATATTATATGTCTAGGTCATCGAAAATGATTTTGTTTTTTTTATATAAGGATCTGCAAGAAACAAACAAAAAGAAATCAATTAATATCCAACATTTCAATGTATCCGGTTTAATGGTCATCATTGCCATATTCAAGGTTAGTTAAGTGCCATTAGAATGAAACAAATAATAAATAATGATACTTCTTTCATCATCAAACAAAGATATAGATTGATGGATCGATGGATGGATATATTAATGTGATTGATGAGCTCTTCATCATTACCTTTTTTTTCCCAAATGAATTTTGTTTTCAAGTTATTTGAGAATATATATTGATAAAAGTGTTGATCAATCTTTAAATTATATACTGATTTTCCGGTAAAAAAAAATGCAAGACGCATGTACAGATATGAAGATTTTCGAATGAATAATGAAAATAAAATCTGATATAAAAATGGATCAGATTTTTTTGATCAAATATTTTTTAGTATTGATCAAATATTGTGATCAGATGATACTAAAATGTCAAATATTCGTACATTAATTCTTTGTTTGGCAATAATGATACCATTTTTAGATGGTACAATTCAATTAATGAATAAAAATCGTTTGGTACAAGATTGTAATTCAACACCAAGTTTAGAAAATGGTAAGTTTGAATGTGGGTGAAAATGTTTTTGAAACGGCTATGGAATGTTATGAAATTTTTTTGTAAATTTTAACTAACTAACTAATGATAATTGAATGTCCAACTAACAAACTAATCAAACATTCCCATTAACTAACAACAACTAAAACAACCAAAATGATTCCCCTTAATCCTTGGTGACACCTGTACCCGGTAATATTTGTTTTTTGCCAAAAAAAAAATTTTTGGAACTTCGTTAATTCAAGTTAATGCTCAATTTTTAGTAAATGAAGTACGAAAATTTGTGGATGATTGTATTAAAACAAAAGATGGTATACGATTTAGAAAACGATTTCAAAATAAAGATGGTAAACTATTGGATACAAATGATATGATGATCAACCAGATATTACAAAGAAAAAATAGTTTAAAAGATCGATTTATTATATCATCACCTTCGACAACATCTTTACCCTGTAATCATGATCATTGTATAATTCAACCAATGCAACAACAACAACAACAACAACATTCACTTTCATCGTCCGAAGAAATGGATGAAAAAATGATTAAAAAACTTATTCTATTCGAATATTTGAATCGTTTTTGATCAAACAACAATCATCAAACTAAAAAAAACAGATTTCATAATCTTATTTCAAAGTTTTTTTCCATTTATTTTATCACAAACAAATTGTCAAGCACCAAAAAAAAAAAGTTTGACAATTATGAAATCATACAAACAAAAAAACAAAATTTTTTTTTTAATCAGTCAAACATAATGTAGATGTTGATATTATCAAATCATTTGATATTATTATAATTGAATCCATTGATATTTAAAATGAAAATGAAATCATATAACATTATTATGGAATTTTTTTTTTATTTTGATTGAATAAAAATATGCATATCATTTTGATTAACATTCAGACAATATATTTTGATTGATACACGTCTAATGGTATGATCATATTGATGTTGTTGTTGTTGTTGTTGAAATTGATAAAATTGAATGAATATTGAATAAAGATTGGGAAAATACGAACAGAAAAAAATCAAACCAAACCAAACCAAATCACATTACATTAATTTACTGTGTAAAGAGTTTTTCGTTTGATGTGAAATAATGATGAATTCGTTTGGTTTGTTGTTGTTGTTGTTGTTCATAATACAGGCCGTTGTTACAACAATAAATGGTGATCGTGTTGAGATATTAATACCAAAAGGATCGATTGCTGGTGAAAAATATTCATTAAATGATGGTCATTCGGTAACTAGATTTCTTGGCATACCATATGCAAAACCACCAATAGGAAAATTACGATTTAGACGTCCGGTGCCGATTGAAAAATGGAATCAAACTATTGAAGCATTACAATGGCCAAATAATTGTCATCAAAAACCAAAATTTTTACATCGATATCAGAATAAAAATTTTGTTGAAGATTGTCTTTATCTAAATATTTGGTCACCAAATGTTAATGTTAATGAAGAAAATCTGAAACCAGTTTTAATATGGATACATGGTGGTGCTTTAATTGAAGGTGGAACAAGTCATAGTTTATTTGATTTAGCAAGATTATCGGTTATGACTGATGCTATTACAGTTAGCATTAATTATCGTTTAAATGGTTTTGGATTTTTTTATTCGGATCAAATTGATGAAATCAAAGGTAATCAAGGTTTATGGGATCAAACAATGGCATTACAATGGATAAATGATAATATACGTTATTTTGGTGGTAATCCAAATTCAATTACATTGATGGGAAATAGTGCTGGATCTTGGGCTGTTAGTTTACATATTCTTTCGCCTGTTTCAAGAAATTTATTCCATAATGCCATTCTATTGTCAGGTGCAGCAAATTTTTATGCAACAAAAAATCCAAAAGATTTTGTTCAAAAATCTTTAGATATAATACGTATGATTGGTTGTGCAAGCGAAGATGATAATACTATCACAGAATCAATTGTTGAATGTATGGAACAAATTGAAATGGAAAAAGTTGAAGAATTATCAAGTATGAAATTTTGGTTCAATATTTTCAATTTTAATTGAAAATTTTGTTTTATTTTTTCCCCATACAGAGATAAGATCATTAGTTGTAATTGATGGTGAATTTTTACCAGATCATCCAAACAATATGATTAAATCGGGTAATCATAAAAAAGATTTTAATCTTTTAGTAAGTACGGTTGAAGATGAAGGTTCATTTATATTTGCACAAACAAATTCAAGTTTCAGTAGTGAAGAATTGTCATTGAATGATGCAAAATTTATTTTACTTCAATATATTGATTTATTTGTTTCAAATCATAAATCATTTGATAAGGATTCGATGTTGAAAATTTATTTTAGTAAATTTAATGAATTTTATGATGATAGTGATTTGTTTAAAAAACAAGTTGGTATTGCATTTGGTGATTTATTACTTACATGTCCAACATTAAATTTTGCCAAACAATTATATGAATCCGATTCATCAACAATAAATGTTTATCAATGGTTTTATAAGGCAAAATTAGGACAACTGAAAGATTTATGTACAAAATGGAGTGGTACATGTCATACAGATGAATTGTATCCATTATTTGGTAAACCATTTGAATATCGACAACAATATCATAATCGTGAACGTGAAATATCACAAGAAATTATTGATTTTATTAAATCATTCATTCGAACAGGGTAAGAATCTTCAGTTCAGTTCAGTAAAAAACTAATTAATTATATCTGATTTTGATTGGCAGAAAACCCGGACAAACACAAATGGAATGGCAAAAATATTTTAAAACAAATAAAAATGAAATCGAAACAATTACAATAACACCATATTATGAAATCGGCAATAATTATAAAACACATGAAAGTTTTAAATTTAATCTTAAACAAATTGAATGTGAAATTATATGGAATGCATTTTATCAATGAATAATTGTAATTGTAATAAATAATAAATAAAAATTATTATTTTGTTTTCTTATGTGTCGAATTTATCATTTGATAAGTGTTGTTTCAATAAATATAATTATATATTGAAAAATAAATATAAAAATAAAACCTAATGATTCAAGACACATTGGTAAAATTTCATAAAAATAATAAGACTTATAATAATGACGAATAATAATTAATTCATATATTTGTAATGAATTTGATATTGTAATTGCTTTTGAATATTTTTGATATTTTGAATAATTATTACGTAATGTATTGATCGATTTATCTAATAAACAAAAATAAATATCATCAAATTGTTTAAGTATATATTGTGATGTCCATGATAAAATACAAATACTAATTGAACGTAAAATATTCATAAAAAAATGAAAATATATCATTCGATGGCCATGAATTTCTGTTCTACTAATAAACACTACAATGTTATTTAAATAGGAAAAGACAGTTGTGATAAGAATTAAAAACAAACCCGGTGATGATATTCGATTGAATTCATAAAGATTATAACCTAATGCTTTTATATCGTTGATCAATTCAAATGTATCATTTTTAGCTAAATTATTATCTAAAAAAAGAATTGAAAATATTAAAAAAAAGGTTATTAAAAGTTAGTTTAAAGAAATTTAGTTTAAAGAAATTTAACTTACCATTAATTTTATCAAGTTTTTGTTTCAATTTGATTAAAATTTTTTTCGAAAGTAAAAACATTAACAAATTAAGATCATAAAAGAATATCATATAAGTATAACCGAAATATATTTGATAACAAACAATAACTTGTAAGTAAGTAAAATCATTAGAATTTTGAAAGAATATAGCAATAACGAATAATAATAGGAAAATAAAACCGAATAAACGAAAAATGAAAATTTTCATCATTTTTGTATGATTATTAAGATATTTGATAAGTATGAAATTATTGAAACATTTTAGAATAACATTCCCATTAAACGTAAATAAAATGATCAATACAATATTGCTTAAATTTAAAAAACGCCATGACCAAATAAATGAAAATTTCATTAATGGTTGTGTTTTGATTGATTGTACGAATATTGAATAAAAATCAACAAAATTATCACTAAATAAATACATTATAAATGATGTAATAATAATGAAAAATATTCTCCATATTGTTGTACAAATAAAGAACAATAAAAGTATCCGAGATTTTTTTGATTGTTCATATCCATATAATGAAACACCTAAAATGCTTTTTTGATTTAAAAAAAAATTGATTAATAATCCAGATAATTAAGGTGATTAATGAAGATTTTCATTTATAAATAATACCTGTAAAATAGGAAAAATAAATTAATATTTTTATTTCGCATAACGTTGTTTACAGATTGACCAAAATTATTGGTTTTCATTGTTTCAACACAAGATGGCATTATTGTCGTTGTTTTCATATTGTATTTCCTATTTCCGATATTGAGTCATATATGAAATTCGATTTTTTTTTCAACGTTCAATTGTTCGATCATATATCATTTGTGTTTTTTTTTGCTTTTGTTTTTTTGTTGTTGTTTTCGCTACGAAAAATGTCGTTTCAATTGCAAGAATATTTGCGAATTATACGAGATGAAGCTCAAAATCTAAGTAAATGAATTGGTTATTTTTTTTTCTAAAACAATTAAACAATTATTAATGTATTGATTCTGTATAATGAATTATAGGAGAAACGAGCGGAATTCCTCGTGGTCGATCAAGCGGTAATCGAAATGGAAATTCGAATAGTAAGTTGTTGACAAAATGATAATTTTTCTTATGTTTTTTCTATCGTTCTATAGAATATTCAAGCCGTAATGAAAATTCTCGTTATGAACGTGACGATATGAGTAAGTATTGTTTTTAGTTGATATTAATTAGATGTAATTCCTGTTGAAAATTATTTAGGATCACGTCGTGATGATGATTCTGAAAATAAATGGACATCAAAACCAAGTAAGTTTTGTTTATAATTTTCTTTTCATTTCATTTGAATCTGATTTTTCAGGTGGAGGAAAAACTGATTATTATGGTCATTGTGACCGTCAAGAAACATTAAATCGTAAGTATACTCAATCTAAGTTCAATTGAAAATATTAAGATTGAATACTTTTTAGCGTACGCACGTCGATCTTCTGATAGAGATAACGATGATAGAGACGGTGGCAGTCGTTATGGTAGAAAAGAAGAAAGTAAGTAATCAAGATTATCTTTGTAATTTGGTTTTTACAAATTCTAAATGCTAACATAGAAAGCTGGGGTCGCAATAATGAAGATTCAGATGACCGATCATGTAAGTTTATCTAATTTAGAATTGATTGATAATTTGTGAAAATTTCATTTCAGCCAATCGTTATCGAAACAATGATAATGATCGTGGCTACAGCCAAAACAGGACAAATCGTAAGTTTTATCGGTTCGGTCGCAGATACAAATATAATTATTTATACTTATTCCCACTTAGCATATGCCCTTCCACCATCCGATAAACGTGACGATGACAGAAGCGAAAATAATCGTTACAGCGGACGAGATAATGATCGTTACAGCGGCCGAGATAATGATCGTGACAGCGGACGAAATGATCGTTACAGCGGGCGAGATAATGATCGATACAGCGGACGAGATAATGATCGTGACAGCGGACGGGATAATAGTTAGTCTTTTTTGTTTTTGTTTAATTGGGTAATTTATGAATCTTATTCATTAACAGAATACTCAAGTCGTAATTTTGATTCGGATGATAAATGGACTCGCAGATCAAGTAAGTCTACCTAACAAAGAATTAATCATTTAATCGGCAAAAAATAACATTTTAGACGATCGGAATCAAGACAAGGATGATAATTCTTATGGTGATGGTGGACGCCAAAACAAGCCGAATCGTAAGTTCATTTGTTCAATTGTAAATGATTTCATTTATTTATATTACCAAATTAGCATATTCTCTTCCATCATCTGATAACAAAGATGATGAGTATCAAAATACTCGCAATGGTGACAGTAAGTTATTTGAATAGGTTATCATGTTATGTTATGTTTTGTCTTTTTAATATAAGAATATTCAGGCCGTTTTGATGATCGTTCGGTTGCCAAATCAAAGGATCATTCTTCAGACAACCGATATTCCGAACGTTCAAGCCCTAGACGTTACAAAAATGATGACGATCGCAATGATCGTCGATCAATTGATAATAGTAAGATGATTTTATATCTTGAATTTTTAATAATCTTTTTGACCCTATTCTTTTAGATCGATCTAATGGATATCAGAAGGAAGTGTATTATTCTTCTGGGCAAGATTCTAATGATCGTTACAAAAATGATTCTAAGTTAAAAACTTATGATAGTTCACAAACATTAGCGGATAATTCAATAGATTCTTATCAAGATTTTGATCGTTTGCTCGTTGAGTATAAATCTTCAAAATATTTACGATTCCAGCACATAATTATGGAACTTGAAAGCAAACAAATTTATGAAAAAATGGAATTCATTCTCAACAGTTCATCATGTAAAAAAGTGGTCATGATCATACAACGAGCTAATGAATTTTCCGATTTAACCGTGAAAATTTTGAAAGGAAAAGGATTTTCCGTTGAAAATTTGAATGAAAAAAATGTTGATAATCGTGAACACAATAAATTACAAACAATAAGCACAACCTTTGGACTTTTGGCCAGTCATCCGGATGTTAAATTGGAATTTCCCGATATTGTAATCAACTGTGACTTGGCTTTTAAACGAGTAAAATATTTGGAACGATATCTTCGTTATCTTTTTGATAAACGTAATTGTGAAAAAATTACAAACGTTGAAATTTATCACATTGGATTAACAAATACTCCATTTGTTCGTGTATTGAGAGAAATGTATGAATAAATGTAAATCAATCTTTTATTTATCATTAACTGAATAGTTGTAATACATGAACAAAGTCGGATAAAACATTTTTTTTTTGTAACCATTTTTAAAAACATAAATAAAATATTAAGTTACTAACCATTTACATCCATTTATATTGAATGAATATCTCTTGTAACCACTGTTGGCGCCCATTGTATTGATCAACAAAACCTTAATGGATTTCCAGAAGTGCATGCGTGTTCAGTAAATGAATCCAACTCGCGATTGAACCACTACTACTTTCGCCGTGTTTCTGGAACAGAACCAGAACCCGAAAATTCATTGAGTAGAAGCGTCGACAATGTTTTCCTTTTCTTTTTTTTTGTCGTCGTTGTCAATTTTTCGCTATCCATCTGTGGAATTGTATTTTCTAACAAAGAAAAAATGTTTTTATTAATTTTTTGTTATTTATTTTCACTGGATTTTCATTAATTTGTTATTCAATATCGATTAATTTGAATCAATAATCGATTGAATTGATCCTTGATAATTGTTTTGAAACGTCCATAAACCATAATAAGAAAATGAGTTTCTTGTACAAAGCTCGTCTTCAAGTGAACGATATGTTTTCACAATTCAATCGTTTCATAGCACCAATGTATTATCATGATCGATGCGAAAGGTAAATGAAAACCATAGGTGTTATTTATTTATTTAATTGACAATTTTCTAATTAATTTGTAAATAAATAAATTAACAGAACATTACAAATGTATGTTTATGTTATGCATAAACGTGAAGTATTATTATCATTATCTGCCCTATTATCGGCCTATATTCTTCTACTATTCATTGGATTGGCTGGTCCGAATGTGGATAAAATTAATTCGGTTATGGCAAAAGAAATGATTGTCGAATCAAATATTCAGGAAAATTATACAGCCCAATTATTATCATATGGTCCATTTATGATGATCACACCAGCCTTATCAACATATTCACAGCAATTATCATTACATTTAACATTTTCATTGAAAAATGAAGAATCATCTGAAGCATTTCATAAAGAATTTGATATTATGATCGATTTGGATGGTGTCAGTTCGACTAATAATAAAACATTACTTTGTAAGATTTTATTTTTAGTTTTTTCTTCAATAATTTTGATTCATTTCTTTTTTTTGTTTTGTTTTTAGCACGTGGTCGTTTAAAATCATCATTATATTGTGGTGGTCGAAAATGTGAACCAATTAGAGTGATTCGATTGATAGAGATACAGTTTCAACATTATCGAATAAATTTAACATTTGATCGGCTAGAATCAGTGAATGAAAAATATACTATTGATGATATACTATTTGAATTTCGTTCCGTAAATATATCATTCACAACATTGTCGATATGGTTTCGTTTTTTCTTTTTGATGGTAACATTTATGGTTATGTGCTTTTATATGCATCATTTATATCGTTTTTCAATTATCGATTGGTCATTGGAACAAAAATGGACCGCTGCTCAATTATTGCTATTGATTCTATCAAATAATCCATTCTATCCGATACAATTTTTGTTAGGATCAGAATTTCCTTATTTATTAGAAGTTTGGCTACATACATCACTTCAAACATTGATAATGTTTTTCTGGTTATGTTTCTTTCATGGTATTCGACAAAATAATCGATCCTTATCAAAATTCTATGGTGGTAAATTGATTATTGTCGGTACCATATGGTTTACAGTCATTTATACAATGTCCTGGTCATTAAGTAATCAAATATCAAATCCAATATTAGATGAAATTTCCGTTTATAATCATTCAATATTTTTACAAGTAAGTTTATTTAAATATGAATTCCTTGAAGCTAAATTTTCTAATAAATGAATCATTCACAGCTGTTAAGCGTCTTCTTTTATATTGCATTCGTATTGTATTTTTTCTATCTAATCATTTTGGTAATGGCTGCATTCACCGAATTACGATTGATGCCATATTTTGATGTTCGTCTTAAATTACAAACATTTTTAATGCTTTTTGTTATCACTATATCAATGTTAACAATATTAATATCGACTACATCAAATCCATCAACAACAAATATGATCAGTTCGATACCATTTCTTCAGCTATTACCATTTACACATTTTTCATCATCATCGGCAACATTTTTATCAATATTTTCATTGGTCAATATTTATATTTGTGCATGTGCATATTATTATAGACCTTCGTTGAATCAATCAAACGGTAATTAGAGTTTACATTTGTTAAATCTAAATAATTTTGACTAATTTTTTTTTCTTTCACAAAAAAATAAACAGAATGTCAAATTGTTCGTGATAATCCAACATTATCGATGATAAACGATTCGGATGAAGAAGTACTTTATGGTAGTGATACTGAAGAATTAATAAACATTCAAGCTAATAATCATCTATCAAATGATTTATTAAATTGTAATCAACAAAATAATATTGTTTCAAATTTGATCGATACAAGAACGGATGAAGAAAGTGATTGAAAAAAACATGGAGTGTTATTGAATCAAATTCTAAATAAAATTTACAAACAAAAAAATATTGTAATTTTCTTTTTATTTATTTATTCATTTTTTTCGGTAAAAGCAAGTAATTTCACATAGATTATTTATATAGAATTTTATTTTTTTAAAATTTATAAAAAGGGGGCAATTTTCGTTTAAAACTTATAAAATTTGTTGGTTTTCGATTGGTTTTCGGTGTTTGGTTTGTGTGTGTGTGTGTTTAGGTGTGGACGATATATTACCAAAAGCTATATATAAGTATTATCTGTATTTCATTCGTTGTTATTTAACATTAATAAATGAATGAATGGAATGAATGACAATTAATAATGATAAACATGAATAATTTCTCACTGAATTTTTTCGTTTTTTGGAAATCATTGAACACCGTCCGTATATTTCTTCTTTGTGAATAAAAATACAAATACAAATACAAGCAAAGAATTCTTTCATGTAATTATGCATTATACAATCAAAAGAATAAAAAGAAAAAGAGAGCAAACAAAACAAACAAACAAAATGATTGGATCATTGGAATCCATTAAATTATAAACGGATTTTTTCGTTTGTTTTTCGCTTTGGTGATGATGGTTGGTTGAAAATTTATCATTTTTTTCCTGGTGATTGATGATGATGAATGGACCGCAAAATTTGTTTTCACTCTTTTTTCTTCGTTGTTTGTTTGTTTGTTTGAATATAATTACAAAATTTTTGTTTTGTTGTCTTTGACATTGTCTGGGCGGACAATCTTCAGTGTAATTGGTGTTAAATGTGTGTGTGTGTGTGATGAGTGTCGGGGTAATAAGAAACATTGCTTGATGAGAGAATATTTGTTTGATGATAATAAAACATGACATTTTTTTTTGTTTGTTTGTTTCATCGAAAAATCTTATAGCCATTTTGGATTTTTTCATTTGCCCTACATATTTCTATCACTCTCACAATCGCACTAATCACAAATAAACATTTCTGACACTAAACATTATTGATAAGCAATAACAAACAAACAAACAAACAATGATAATGATGACCAAAAAAACAAGAATTTAACACAATAAACACATTTGTAAATAATTTTAACGATTATAATTCAGCATGTCTATAGACATATATGTGCGTTTGTGTGTAAACCAATCGAAATTATTATTATTATTTTTTGTAAAATTTAATTTAATAAAATTCAATTATTTTGGATAAACTAAAAAAAATCTTTAATATGTACACTGGGGTTAATGATAACGGTGAACAAGGGGAGAAAAAAACTGATTATACATTTTTTGATTTTTTTTAAAAAACAATGATTATGATTCACATGTTATATATATAATTCTGTCTGTTTATTAACAGAATAATAAACAAGATAAAGAAAAAAAATTACTATAAAAAAAACAACAACAACAACAACGATTCACCTGATGGTTAATTTTCATTTGTTGTTGCTGTTCCGGTTTAACAATTGTCATTACGCTGTGTTTACGGTGTGTTTGAGTGTGTGTTTTTTGGAGAGGGGGGTCACTTTTCTGTCAAATGTTTCAACAACTTGTAAATATGGGTAATGTAAAAAAAAAGTTAAATACAAAAAAAACGAAGAAGAAACGAAAAAAAAGATTATCGTGAAAAGTGAATGTGTTTGTTTGATGCTGATGATGATAATAATAAAAGAGAAACTGTATATGTATCAATGTGTGAATGTGTGATTTCTTCTTCTTCTTCTTTTTGGAAATATTTAAATTTTCACGAATTTTAATTTGTTCAATTTAGTTAGTTTTGGTTGATTGCTGGTTGATGTGATGATAGGTTTTTGTTTTCAAACAAAAAAACGAAGAAAACTTTTTTTCAAAAGATATTTGCACATTGAAAGTTTGTTTGTTTGTTTTGCTTTACAAAATATTTATTTCGTTTTTTTCAATTTGTTTGTTTACTAATTCTGGACGTCAAATGTTTGTTGTTGTTGTTTGAATTAGATTGACAAGAAACAATTCTCAAAAAAAAGAAAAAGAAATTTGAATTTCAAAGAAAATTTTCTTAAGATTCTGCTTCTTCGTATGCATGTGTTTAGTGTGTTTATTCAATGTAATTTCTCTTTGATTTTTTTTCTCCCTTCTTCTTCACCCTTTTTTTTCAAAATTCTAATTTCAAAAAAAATCCTATTTTAACAACAACATCATCATTAACAATAACTTAAATAAGATGAATAAAAAGTAAAATCAACAACAACAACAAAAAAAGATTAAATAAAATTGATGAGAAATACATGTGTTCATACGAAAAAAAAGAAACATATCACATTACGTTACTATATTTTGTTTTTTGTTTTGTTTATCGAAGATAGACTAGAAACTGTTGTTGTCGTTGTTTGGTTGGTTTTTGATTAGCTTTTGTTTTTTGTAGAGAATGATTCGACCGACAAAAAAAAATGATAGAAAATTGGTTGATTTTCAACAAAAGGTGGGCAGAGTTTTTTCGGTTTTTACAAGTGATCGAAAGTATATAAATAAATAAAGTGTATACAAGTGTTGTTGTTGATAATAATAATAATATTTGGAAAATATTGGTGCTGGTTAATACTGTTTGATTGTTTTGTTTTGTTTTTTGTTTTTTTGATCATCAATGATTCAATAATAATAATAATAATAATAAATTAATTTGCAGGTATTAAATCTTCAATCATTTGGCTTGAAATGTGTAAATAAATAACCCAATACATTAAATTAAAACAAACAAAACAAACAGGAAACACTACACGTGAATATTTATCAATATCACTTGGACTAACACCAAATAATTTATTTGGATTTTTTGGTCCAAAAAATCCACTTGATTGTTGTTGTTGTTGTTGTTGTTGTTGTTGACCACTCATACTTATATTATCACCATCTGGACCTATTGTTGATTCATTTGTATGTTGATGTCGTTTATGTAAGTTAATTGTTGGCGATGATGAGCTTGTTTGGCTACAATGTGGACCTAATAATCCAGTTGATGAGGCAGGAATTGAATGCGATAATGTTGGTTGTGGTGGTTGTACCATTGCTGTACATGGTGCCGATATTGTTAAACTTGGCGTTCCATTGATTGGACTATCAGGAGGAATATGAGCAGAATATGATGATTTGACGGAAAAACTTTTTCTTGCTGAACATTCGGTACCACCAGTTAAAATTGGTGTCGCTCTATTTAGACGCATATCTTGACGTCCGTATGCCTATTTGTAAGCAAAAAAAAAAACAAAACAACAAAATATTAACATTTTTTGAAGAAAAAAAATACAACAACATCATACTTGTGGACATGTGGGTGGACAATTCATGGATGGATGATGAACAATACGAGGCGTTCCAATCGTTGCATAACGATCTAATCTATCTATTGTTTGATGTATCTGTTGTGTAAATAAAAAATGAAATTTATAATGTTAGTAATGTAAATCAATCAATGAATGAATGAATAAAAACAAAACAAAAAGATAATCTAATAATTCAGATTCATTTCAATGGATTTTACAATTACATTGTTATTCAATTGAAAAAATGACAATGTAAAGTTTCTTATTTAAAAAAGAAACTCAAAAGATTTTCATATTCAACATTATTAATTCAACATTATTATGTAACATATCATAAGATTAATGTGGCGGGATTGTTTTGTATCTTTTCGTTTTTCTTCTTTCGAATGCAAGATTTTTTTAAAGAAAAAAGGTTTCTTTGTGTGCGATGTTTCAAAATGATGATTTCAATAATAAATATTGCAAATTCATATCACACATTGAACAAACACAGCCAAAATCATTCATACTAATCAAAGAAAAAGTAGAGAAAGTAAATTGCATTTGATGTCTGTAGATTATTGAATTTGATTTTGCTCGATGTGATAATGTTGCTCGATAACTGAAAACTGAAAAATTTAAAAAAAAGATAAAACTGTAGAATTGAAATTCATAACAGTGTTAAACACGGGAATTTCCAAGGAAAATAGAATTCGCAAACATTTTAGAAACAAGTATATTAAAATAATATGAATGATCATCACATATATCTTAGATGAGTTTTCTTCCTTTTACCCATTGTTCGTTTTCGATTTAATTCTCACTAAATCTTGTTTACTTTTTTTATGTTATTAGAAGATTTTCATAATAATACACACTATACAGGGTGTTGTATATAGTCACACAAACAACATTATTGTAAAAAAAATTGAATTTGCTTTCATTTGTTGAAAAAGAAAACGAATATCATATCTCGAAATCAGAATAAAAAGAATAACTAAAGAAAATATAGTCAATTTTTGTTCACACTGATTCTATTTCTCGATGATTAAATTGAGATATAAATTGTTTTTTTTTGTATATCTTCTTTCTCGTTTTTTGTTATCCATATAACAAGATACTTTTTTTCCGTTTGTTTTCCCTTTTTATGCATTGCATTTATTTATTCACATTTTGAATGTACAAAACAAAACAAAACACAAATCAAAGATGCAAAGTATGTATAGTTGTTGTTGTTGTTGTTGTTATGTCATTATGCTTTTAAAGTATTTTTTTTTCTCAAGAATTTTTTCTGTTTTTTAGTCAGTCGAATCGAGAAGCTCGAGTTTTCTCCCATATCCAAATAATAAGTGAATGTGGGTGGGTGTACTGGATTGAGACATTCACTTTAACCAGTTTTTTTTTCTGTGTGACTAATGTAATATCACTGTTAATACTTTGTTTTGAATAATTGCATTTCCATTTTCAGTTTTTTTTTTCTTCTAAATATGTTATCCGAGAGAGACAGAAGAAGATGCCAAGCAAAAAATACATTATTACCGAATGCAAAAACAAAACTTGAGCAATGTTGGATCGGGATGACTCCCTGACTCTCTCTGTGAAAGGTTTAAAAAGCAAAAAACAAAACTCCATCAAGATTTTTTCTGTTTTGTTTAGTTTTTCAATCGTAATTTGTTGTTGTTCAAGAAAGAAAATATTCCATAGAGAACATATATTAAGTAATGATTTCTTAATTAAGATGCTATTTTTTTTTAATGTTTAAATATTAGAAATTTTATAAAATGCGAAAAAAAACATATTGAATTTGTTTTCTATTTTTTTTGAATTGGTTTATTCGCAAATAAGCCAACAAAAAAAACCACATATATTTAGAATTGAAGAATTTTTCCAAACGGAATATTAACAAATTGATCGAATATTTATGCACGAATGCCTTAATGTAATTAATCTTTAAAAATCTATACAAAGAAGAAGATTAGCTTGAAGCAATTTCTTTTTCTTGGTTGGGTTGTGGAAAGACAAAACTTAATTTCATTCATTCATTCATTTTTTTTCTGATTAGAATTTTGTTTGATTTGACATATATTAACACAAACGCACACACCCAAAGAAAATACCTGAAATTTTTTTGTTTCCAAAAATTCTTCAATCTCATCGATTCTATTTAAACTTAAACATCGTTTTTTTTATCGAATAAAAAAAAATGTTTCAAGGAGTTTTGGATTTTTTTTTCTTTCTTATCTCTTTTTTTTCAATTTTCATTTTTTTTCCGAGTGAAAATATTGTCAATATAGAACCGATCAACAACAAGAATAATATTTCAAATCAATAGAGAGAATTTTTCCTTTTGTTTCCTCGAATGTAAACGAAAAGAAAGAAGAAAAACAACAACAACAACAAGATTCTTTCTTATTTTCTTCATCATCATTTTCGTCGATATTTATTGGCACTTATCATATGTCTGCTGCTGTTTGTGTGTATTTTGAATTTTTTTTTTTTTTTGAAATTGAGAAACGAAATAAGATTCATCTTGATCCTTTTTTTTCTTTCTTTTTTCTTTTTCCATAAGTGGTACTGTCTGTCTGTCTATCGTCAATGTTGTTGTTGTCATAAATTGACATTTCGATCGGAATATTCTTTCTCATTTTCTATCCATTTCTTTCGTTTTTTCAAATTCATAATACAATTCGTATGCATGGAATAAATTCACTAAAACTACTTTTTTGTTGTTGTTGTTGTTGTTGTTGTTGTTGTTGTTCTGTTCTGTTCTGTTGTTGTTAAACATTACAAAATAGTAATCAAATATAGAAAAGAAGAAAAAACTTTAAAAAAGTATTTGAAAAAAGAATATATTATATATACCTAGAGATATCTATTTTTGGTGAGTTGTAAGTGTGAAAAAGTTAAATTATATTTTTTTTTTGTAAATTTTTTCTTTTAAAAAATTGTAAACTTTTAATCGATTTATATTCTGGATAAGAGAGAGAGAGTGAGAATGATGACATCAGATTCCATTTACATATTAAAATGAAGGAAAAAAAGTTTATTTTCAATATTGAAATTCATTAAATACACACGAATTCTGTGAGATTGAATTTGTTGTTTACATTTGTAAAGAAACAAGGATGAAAGAAAGTGAAGAAAGTAACAAAAAAAAAGGAAAAATCACCAGCTAAGAATGTCCATTATTTGAATGATTTGTGTTGTTTATGCCTTCTTTTTTTTGACCAAAGACCATAAAACAAAACAACGAAACAACAACAACAAAAAAAGATAATGTTTGTTTCCGAATGGCCCACATATATATTTGTAAGCAATATGAATTTATGTTTTTTTTACCCGTTGACTTTCTTTTTTAAAGAAAAAAAAAACCAAATGATATACACACACACACACACAGTCTTTATGTACATTTGGAAGGAAGAAGAATTCTAGTACAGTATATTTCAAGTGTGTATAGTGTGGCTAGTGAAGAATAGAAATAAAAAATCCGGATAGAATGGATAGAAAATACAGTGGGTAAAAAAAGAAAAAGATTTAGAACTGATGATAAACCGATGATAAATGAACCAGACAATGGACCAAGTAATACAAGTTTTTCTCTCTTTCTCTTAAACATCATCATATATGAACAAAAAAAAAAATACATGTGAATTTTAATGTACAAACACCAACAACATCATAATATTCAACTAATGCCATTGTCTATTTCTATTCTTTCTTTCTATTATTCCGTTTTTTTTTATTTTGTTTGCTTCATTCACAACGAATAAGAAGAAGAAGTGTATGCTATGTGAAATGTGAAATGAATCAAATCTTGCAAGTAATCTTTTTTGATTGTCGGCGGTAGTGATAGCGATGTTGATGTTGATGTTGATGATGATGGTATTTTCTAGTGATTCTGGATCGACTAAAACTAAAACTAGAAAAAAAACGAAACTGGAACACATAGCACACACACATCATATATTTGAATTTTTGTTTTTTTCTCTGGTTGGAAAAAGAATTCCAAAGAATATATTTTCTAGATTCTAGATCATTGATTATTTGAACAAATGAGTTTATGTGTTCAGCATGTTCAGTGTGTGTGTTCAAAGGTTCAATCATTCGAATAATCTGGGAAACAAGAAAACAAAAAAAAAATGTCTCTTTTGTTTTTTCGTTTTTTTTTGTGGATTGTTTTGAAGATTCTGTCATTCTTGATCATGATCGGTGTGTGTGTGTGTGTTGATCATTTTTTGTTTAATGAATTTTTTTTTTAGGCAGAAAAACAAACAACAACCAAAAAATCTATCAAACTATCAATTTTTTTCGTTTGTTTGTTTGTTAATGAAAACTGATATTTAAATCGTGAGAAGGGAAATAGAAGAATTTCCAACAAAACTAAGCCCAGAAAGTCTTGTTGTTTCTGATTTTAAGTCGAAGAAGAAATTGATATTAGTAGATAAATACTAGTAGTATTTAATGTTTGTTATATTTTGTGACAGGTCTAAAGCATCATTTTTCAATATATAAATATAGAATCTCTTTTGGAATTCTCCCGAACAAAACAAAACAAAAAAAAGTTCAAAAGCTAAAAAGATTTGAAGAGAAGACGAAAAACCGAAAAGAAGAAAAACGAAGGATCTTTTTTTTTTTTGGTTAATTTTCTTTTACTAGGCCGAGGTCGTTGTGCCTAAAAATAGCATCCAATGAGCGATAAACTAACTAACAACAAACAACAACAAAAGTATTTCTATTTTCTACCCAACAATTTCTCTCTCACTCTCTCTCTCTCTCTCTCTCTCTCTCTCTCTCTCTCTTNAAGATTTGAAGAGAAGACGAAAAACCGAAAAGAAGAAAAACGAAGGATCTTTTTTTTTTTTTGGTTAATTTTCTTTTACTAGGCCGAGGTCGTTGTGCCTAAAAATAGCATCCAATGAGCGATAAACTAACTAACAAAACAACAACAAAAAGTATTTCTATTTTCTACCCAACAATTTCTCTCTCACTCTCTCTCTCTCTCTCTCTCTCTCTCTCTCTCTCTCTCTCTCGACAACTAACCAATGATATGATATATCAACGACGACGACAATAATAATGATGATAATAATAATAATAACCTTATTCCACGGTCAAATTCTTTGCCACTGTTTCTTTTATAACGACAACAACATATATTATACATACAAACACGCAAGAATAAATGAGAGAGAAAAAAAAAACTATCATCATCATCATTGATCGATACCGCTACGATAGGGGTATTTATTTATTGTCATCATATAAATATATACCAAGCGAGAGAAAGAAAAAAAGAAAATTGGTCCAAATGGAACAGCATTGAAAATTGTTATACCAAAAATTCATGATGACGTCAGTATAACATACATACATAGAGTTTTGTTTTTTGCCCATATTATATAGAATCATCGTCATCATCATTGAATGAAATCATTCCATTTTCCATGAACCCTGAATGCTAATTTACTATTTTTCTATTTTTTCAAACAAACAAAGGAGGAGGTAGTATAGTCTGAATAATTTTGGTCATACGATAGCATTATTTTTTCAATTTTTTCATTCCATTCCATTACATAAAACATCTCACATTTCATTCTTTTTTTTGTATTCAATTTTTATTAACTAATTTTCATCATCATTATACGAACGAAAAAGATAGGTTTTCTTTTCCAGTTTCCAGTTCTATAAATAGATTTGATATCATCAATCAATAATTAGCATTTGATATTGATGATGATGATGATAAATTAACATTATTACAAAAACAACAAAGGCAAAACAGCAAAAACAAAACAGCAATGACAATGACAATGATTATCCATCATCATCAGCATTATCAATTCAAATTCATTATTCAATTAATTTCATTAGATTTTTTCTCTTTCTTTTTTTGGCTTTTTCCAGGTTCATTATGAGATGTGAATTATTATTCTTTTATGAATCATCAGAAACGAGAAAAATCCAATGAAAAGAAAATCAAGAATAAGAGAAGAGAAGAGCAAATGAAACAGTTTTTTTTTTGGAACATGTAAATTTTTGTTTTGTTTTTTTGGTATTTGACACAGGCATTTTTGATGTGATTTTTGTTTCAGGGGTTTTTTAGCCATAGATGATTATATTATTTATGTCGTTTTGCACTGTGAAAAAAAATTTCATAATCTGTAATGTGTGTGTGTTTATGTGGATGATGATAAACACAGCGAAAGAAAAACAACAAAACCAAAAAAACGACAAAGATACATAAATTTCATGCTGATAAGAGTGTTTTGTTTTTCAAATTCATTTTGTTTGTTTTTTTTTTTTTTTTTTGATGTTTTGTATGCAAAATTTTCACACTATATTTTATTAATTTTTATTTCAGTTGTTATACGTTATACGTTACATATAACATTTATTACAGCAGAAAAATTACAACAGAAAAACTGTTTGAATAGACTTTTTCTTCTTATCTTATTCTAATGTTTTACACATAAATATTTATTTTGTTTTGTTTTGGTGTAAACTTTACACTGTAAAGTATCGACCAACAAAAAACATTAAGATTATGATGATGAACAAGATAATTCTTCCTTTTTTTTACTGTTGTTGTTGAATGGATTTGCATATAAAATATGAAACGATAAAAAACAAACTGCAATATTCTTCATTGTTTTTTTCGTTTGTTCTAGTACATCTTCATAATCATCACCATGATCATCATAAGGTGTTAAAAAAAAGAAACAAAATAAATCATAACACACACACACACACACACATGTAAATCTGACTGACTTGTTTTCCATAATTTATATACTGTCTTTCAACAACAACAAAAATATGAATTGAATTTCATATGGGAGACATAAATATAACATACACACACACACACGAACATAAATATCAGATGAATCAATGTCTCAATTAGATTATGTTGTTGTTATTGTTGTTGTTGTTGGTGTGCCATATTACATATGTAATAAAATAACCGTATAGAGAATATTTATGGAAAAAAAAAATTCATAAAAATTTTTTTTATATGAATTTGGTTTCTCTCCAAGGAAAACTCACACACAAATTGAATTCATGAAAACCTGATTCAAGAAAATGATAATAATAATAATACAAAAAGGCTATAATTTTCCTGTTGAATGTGTTCATTATTATTATTAATGTTGAAACATTATAATTATCACCAAACATAAAGTATAAAAAAAAGCCAATGGAAATTCACATGAAACTATTAAAAAAAATATACCAAACAAACGAAAAAGAATTGATCAAAACAAAAAAATGCAAGGAATCAATTCTTGTATACAAATGTGATTGGAAATCTATAATTATCAATTGTATGTAACCAAAACCAAAACCAAAAAAAAACAAGAAAAGCAAATCATGATAACGATCAGATAAAAAACACAGAGCAAATGATTTTCACCAAAAGACAATAAGCCAATACAGAGATACAAATCACACTGGGAAAAAAAATTATCATTGATTCAATCATTAGACGTTTATGATATCAATCAATGATTTGATAAAGAATTTCTGGTCATTGCGATTCAAATAATGATGATTAATATTGAAGCCAAAAAAAAAATTATCATTATTTTCATGGATGCCATTTTCATTTTCTGCTTTTGTTTTGCGAATTTTCTCCCGTTCGGATTCTCATTATCATTATCATCATCGTCGTCTTGGTGGAGTTTGTTTGTTTCCAGTCATTTTCTTTGGCTAGAATAGATTATTATTATGATTTTGATAGCAAATTTAGCTGAAAGAAAAAAAAACTTATTCCTAAAACTGAAAAGTAAATGATTTTTTAAATAAGATTGATGCCCCATATATGATCGTATCGTGTGTAATAAGTTGTATTTTTTGGATATTAAAGTTTATTGAAAAAGTTTTTTTTCCTCTCGCTTTTCTCTCACTCAAACATTTACACACATTTTAAAGTTCGGGAAAAAATTTCAAATTGATTGTTTTCATCGTCGTCAACTCTTTCAACAGAAAAGTATTCTGGAATTAGAGTTTTGTTGCAAAAGAATGGAAAATGGATTTTTTCTGTTTGGTTTGGTCGACAACTTTTTCATGTTTGAAAGAAAAAAATTGGGGAAAAAGAATTGCAAAATCAAAAATACTAATTAACTATTGATCGAAATTTTAACTAAGTAACTACTGCATAATTTCAGTAACACTATTAATTTGAAAAACAAAAACAAAAAATCAAACAAAATTCACTTACCGGTATTGGCTTTACTGATCGATGTAATGTTGAATTTGGATCAGATTGACATAATAATCCATGTCCAGTTGATATAGGCATTGGTGGTGGTATGTTGAGTTCGTTTAATTCATTACCATCATCATCTAATTGATTTTGGCTGGATAAATTTCCTTGATTCGACATAACACTGGCACCAGGACCAGACATATTTAGATTAATACTACCGCTACGTGTATTAGTACAGGTAGCAGCTGCCGCAGCAGCTGCTGCTGCAGCAGCACATCTATTACGATGTTCTTGAGCAAGTTTAGCCAATTGTTGTGAACGTGTTTTACGCATTGCAATACGTTTACCAAGGTAACCAACGGTAGCATATTCCAATAATGAGGCAAAAACCATTACGAAACAAGTACCAAGGAAGACATCGATCGACTTAATATAGGATATTTTAGGCAGTGCTGCATTTGTCGATGACATCAAAGTTGTCATTGTAAGCACAGTGGTAACACCTAATGCTACACGTGCTGGTGTTGCATTACGATGTAACCAAAATGAAACCCAAGATATAATAACAATCAATGATGCAGGGATATAAATTTGGATGAGGTAGTATCCCATTGATCGTTCAAATTGAATTTCACAAACTAAACGTGAATAGTTTCCTATTAAAAGTTTATGTGAAAACAAAACAAAACAAAACAAACATTTATAAAAGTTCAAAGAATTAAACAAAATTAGCTTACCTGTGCTTAATGTTTCAATTTTCATTGATTGTCTATAGCCAACTACTTTAAATTGAGGCAATTCTAATCCTTTCGACATGCCAATCGATTCTTTTCCTTTTGACCAAATATAAACAATATCGGCCATTGAATATCCATCTAACAGAATAGAAAACAAACAAAGCAAAACAAAACGAAAAACAAAAACAAAAAATTTCCATTAAAAACATTTATATACATACAAATTGAATAATTTAATTTTGAATTTCAATAATGATCATCATTTATTTATTTGAATAATAATAATAATAATAATAATAATAATGATTTTGTTTGTTTGCACACGAATAATAATACTTATTATAGACAATTTTCTTGTGAATAAAGAATGAATGAATGAATGAATGGGGGTGATATTAAAATGTTGAAAACTAACTAAAAATGCCGTAAAAAAATATTTTTTTTTCATTGAATAATTTATCAAGAAAAATCTGTCTGTTTGTGTGTGTGATATTTTAATGGCCAGAAAAAAGGAAAAGAAATAAATAAATAAATAAATAAAAAGTATGCAGAAAACATTATACCGAAAAATTTTCTGTTTCGTTTCGTTTAATGTGCAGATGTGATTGATATATTTTCTTCTTTTCTTCGTTTTTGATGATTTAAACCAAATCAGTATACCGGAACATTGTGTACAAAACAAACGTACACACACAGACACACACAGATTTAAAGATTGTGAAAAGTTGTGATTCTGAAACTAAATAATTTCTATGAAACATCTCAAAGAGAGAGAGAGAGAGAGAGAGAGAGAGAGAGAGAGAGAGAGTGAG